CCTGCAACCCAGCCTCCCAGCGCTCACCGGCTGTGCTCGACCTGCATCAGCACAGCGTGCTTTCTCCTGGACTTGCACTGCTTCAGGTCTGTAGAGTTTTCTTTGGAGGGGAGGCCTACAGGCAAGGGGGAAAGAGCTCTTGCAGTCAAGAAAACAAGCTTGAAACTAAAAGGATCCAAATCAAAGGGCAAATCCCACCACAAAGCTTGCCACTCACTGCACTCAAGCCATCCAATGGCCTGAAGAGCCCAACTCACGCTTTTCTGAGTGGCCGAGGCTTACAAAAGATTTTTGCATGTTTTTGAAGCCCCTGATTTTGGTCTCACGAGCCCTGGCACCGTTCCAGTGCACCCCGACTGCTCTGCCGCAGTGGCACTCGTTTGGGAGCAGCCGCCATCTCTTCCCCGTGCCACACGGCACCAGCGCTGCCACCACCAGGCCCACGGCAGCGTGCACAAAGCCAGTAATGGATCAACCATCGACAGCCTCGCTCCACACCAGACACCTCCTTCATCTGCCCTGGAGGGTGAGGGCCTATTTTCTGGGATTAGTGAGAGGAGAAAAAAGGGAATTTGCTTCATCTGCAAGCTATAAATCCTCCCCATTTTCCTGAGCCCAGCGCAGACTGGAACAGCTGCGTGGCACCATTCCCCCAAGGCCCCAGCTCTGCTGATGATGCTGAAATACCAATTTAAGTGTAAAAGCTGGAAAGCAGGAGAGAAATAAACAGCAGGAAAAGGAGACAGGGAAGCCATAGGATCACAGAATGGTTTGGGTTGGAAGCAACCTTCAAAGATCGTCTACTCCAACCCCCCTGCCATGGGCAGGGACATCTTTCACTAGATCAGGATGCTCAAACTCTCATCCAACCTGACCGTGAACACTTCCAATGACAGGGCATCCAATACTTTTAAAGGAAACAAAATTCACACTATTTCCTTGAAAGAAGGCATTATTTTGCTTAAGAGATTTTTTTTTTCTCATTGAGTACAGATATTGAGACCTGCTATGAATCCCCTTGGACGGGGTCTGCTGAGGAACACAGGGAAGAGGCAGGTAGCACCAAACACATGTAAGCACAGAGAAACGAGCCAAATACAAGAGGTGGACTGTGAGGACCCACAGCTGGATGATGTCTCATCTATCTCAGGACCCGTCTTCTCCCAACATGCAGAAGATGCTTTCCATCTGCAAACGCATCCAGGTGCATCCACAGACCACTGTTGGCCCCAGTGTCGCTGAGCCACTGCTCAACTGTCTGGACACCTAATTTTGATTTCCAGCTTAACTCCTTAGCAGCTACACTTCCTCTCCATGCACGCTTGTCCATCTCGTAGAAAATCACTCCCCCAGGTTCAAACAGCTCTCCTCCCTCTGTGGGGTAAATGCAGAGCTGTGTAAGATGTTGGGCCCCTGTACGTCCCAGGGACCGTGGTACTCAACCCTCCCAGGATCAAGCAAGGTTAATCCCCCATGAACTGTTGTAGCAGGGAGCACTAGCACTAAATCCTCCAGAAACCCAGCCCAGACCACAGCACATGGAATTCTGGTCCTCTGTTTGTAGGACCTATAAAAACACAGCTGTGCTCGCCTCTCCAGCCAGCTGCACAGCAGAGACTCGTGTAGGATGTTAATCAGAGCTGTGGTCTTATTGATTATTATTTATTATTACTACTACTGCGGTCACACCCAGGGGCCCCCAAACAGATCCCTGTGACAGCAAGACACTGTCTCTGCTTTGACGAGTTGACAACCCTCGTCTGAAACAAGTCACAGCGAGGCAGCGTGGCACACAGCGAGGAGGGGAGCTGGCAATGCTGGGAAAATTGCTCACTGAGCTGGTCTGAACCATGCTCTCCTTGAGTGCTTCCAGTCATACTAAAATGCTGCTGGTTTATAAACCACTGGCTGCTGCGATTTCACTTTTTTCAATCATTTAACCATTTCTCACTTGTTTTAAAGTTCTGTTAAGTAGCTTTTAATCTGGCTGGTTTTTGTGCAGGTGTCAGGGAAAAAAATAAATAAAATCAAAGTGAAGGTGAGACCAAGGAAATGCCTTGGTGGGAGGGAGAGTGGGGGTACAGCTGTTCCCCCACTGTGCACACAGTGCCTGCTCCACAGCCTGTCACTTCAGTGTCTTTCCCCTGCACTTTCAACATGTTCAAGAAATAAAACTACAAATGCTATCAGCCATGAAGACCCACAACATTCAAGCAACGTACCTACAAAATAATAATAAACACACATGAGGCCAGAGGATGCATTTTCCCGAATGTTAAAAGCAAGGAGCTGAAGAAATTACCGGGAACAGAATTTGCTGGCATCCCTCAGAGATTCCCAATATGACCCCTGCAGCCTCTGGTAGCAGGGAACCAACTCCAGCGACACGGCTGGGGCAGGCCAGGCTGTGCCAGGCTGTGATGGGCACGGCTGCATTCTGCCCCATCGCAGCCCTGGGACAGCCCTTGCCTGGAGCAGCTCCCTGCTCGCACTCCTCTCTGGCGGAAGGATGCTGCGCTAGGTGCTACCTGCGCACTTCGCCTCCAGCGAAGGACCTCCGGAGGGACAGGAGGGATGGAAACATTCCAGGGTACAAGGGGATGCTGCAGTTCCTCCACCTACACACTCATCATTAACCAGATGGGAAAGACCTGTGACCAATGGAGAACAAACTTAGGCAAAGCAACTCATGGTGCCCCTTTACACAGGGAATCAGTGGGGCATGAAGCAGTGTCCCAGGCTGAATTACTGCTGCAAAAACAACAAAGGTCATTGAAGAAACAATTAGGGAGCTTGGAAGAGACAAGGGAGCCACAGAAGGCGAATGAAGCATGTTGGGCTAAATATTTTCTGGCTGTCCCCCCTCGCCTGCCAGATCCTAGAAGTCTCGTGTTCTCAGGGTTATATATGGCTGGGCTAATGGCTTCGCACCGGCTGCTGACACCAACCAGCAGTGTGTCACCTTCTGAAAGTGGATTAGCTTAAGCTGCAGAAATGCTGTCACATCACTAAGCCGGTCCCTGACCAGGTCTTGGCCAACCCTTAGCTTTTCCAGGCCTGTCAGATGATGATGAGATCTGCAAATGCCCAGCACCAGACAAGGCAAGGGACTGGCACTGAAAAAGGCCTCCTGTGAGCTCCTGATACCTCCCAGTTTCCAACAGATGTGGCGATGCTCAGCTGCTTGGGGGACTGGGTAACCAGTGTTGCATGAGAAATGTTTGGTGCTTTGTCTCTTCAGCCTGTAGTGCCTGTCCTGCTCTTAGGGAAAGCCTCCTTCCCCAAATGCCAAGAAACCAAGACTTTTTTAGAAGGTGGTAATTTCCCAAGTCACATATAATCAGATTTACACTCACTAAAGCACTGACAATTAAGGCATACTGACATTTTTCACAAAAAAAATACTGGTTGATTAACAATAGTTTTCCTAGAAAAAAAAGTGTCATTTTCCATAATTACTTTAAATTTTAAGAGAACTAAGAAAATAAGAATTTCCACTTGACTTGAAGGTGACACCTTCATTGCACTTCAGAAACAGATTATTTTTTTACTTTTTTAATTCCAAATGTCTTTCTCTTACTCGCTAATGTTTTGTTACTGAAGGCAACAGAACAGGTGCATACGACTTCGCTTTCCCACTCCAACACATTTTCTTTTTTCGTTCTGAATTCCCTGAAGTTAGCCTGGCAGAGAAAAAAACCCAAACACTCGTCAGACTTTTCCAACTTTCCCACAAAATGTCCTTAACTTTAGAAGATCACTCAAGTGTGAGATTTAATATGCCACTTTGTTTTTCCTTTCTGTTAGTCTGTAGTCTTCCTGTAAATGCATACGCTTTCAGAAGATAGAGCAGAAAAAGAGAAAAAAAGATACAGGAGACATTTATCTTATTGTCCTCAACATAAAAGAGGGAAAAGTGGTGATGGAACAATGCAGAGCATCCAAAACCAGAACTCAAAAGCCGGTTTGGCCATTTTCTTGAAGATAACTGAGTTTTTCTTTGGTTAAGGATGGGGGGGAGGAGGGGAAACAGTTTTCCACTCACCTTTAACCAGAGTAAACCACGAAGAACAGAAAAGTCACTGCTCTGCCAAGAGAGCTATCACTCTCTCCCAAAATCCTCAGCTTCCACCTTGTTTCTGCTTCAGCAAGGTTCCATCACACACTCTCCATGTCAGCGAGGGGCATCCCAGTTGCTCCAGCTGGCCAGTTTCCAGCTGCAAGCCCCAGAGGCGCTCCCAGCCATGCGCTCCCACTGCCGGGAGCTCCCTCCCTCCATGCATCCACAAGCCAGGAACCACCATGCTCGCTGCTCGACCACGTGAAGGCAGGAGGACTTTTGTAGCAGAAGGCAGAGGAAGGCTGACACACAGTGACTGGCAGGCGTTTGTTTTACTGACATAACAGCTCCAGAGGCTACTGAATGATCATGTAAATATCCTCAGAATTACATCATTAAATTATTTCTTATTCAAGAGTGTTTCATAGTAGAGGGAAAAGAATAAGTGTACAACTGAATCAAACCAGCAGGCTGGAGAGGAAGCACTCCTAAAGCCAAACTTATTCCCTTACCACCTTAATTATACCCATACTCTTACAGCTCAGCCCCACATTTGTAGGGGATTCCCATTGTGCTGGGATGAAAGAACCAATACTGAACAGGGTTGTTCAAGCCCCAGCTTCTTGGATCAACACATACCAGCAAAGACCAAACAAGCAAAACCCCTTGAAAAGTACGCATCTCGGACATAGGACATCTGCTTCCAATTAAAAACAAGAAAGATTTGTCCTCATGTCTTCCACCAGCCCTGCACCTCTCAGGAGGGTAGCTAGCCAGAGCAAGGGTAAGAGATACCTTCACATTCGTCTTGATTTGAACGATCTGAAACAGGGAGGCTCCCACAAACTCATCAACAAAGAGCAAGCCAAGAACAGCCTGTGTTAGCAGTCAGTTCCTCTGAATTAGACCATTGTGGTTCCTTCCAAAAAAATATAAATACTTACCATCACCTCCTGGTTGCTTGTATGGGTTGTACTTTGGCTTGGGGGCAACAACTGGTGCAAACTTCTTTGGTGTCTGCTGGGTGGACACCGAGATGCTGGGAGTCCCAAAGGTGTGCGTGGTCTCCATCCTTGCAGTAACGTGACCAACAGGCTCGTTGGTGCTCTTGGGTGGCAGCCAGGACGGGTGCGACATGGTTCAGATCTGAGAGGAGAGGCAAAAAGAATCAGACGTACGTTAGGAAATTAGACTGGGGAACCAGCAGTTGCAAACTCACTGCTTTACTAGTTCATAAAATCAAACCCTCAAATCCCTGTAACATGTTTAACTTGCGCATGCTTATCTTTAAACATATTGGTCCTAAGGTATAGGACTTGTGATACAAGTTTGTCTGTCTTTCCCCAGTAGGTCAGAATTACTGATCAGCCCACTGGTGCTGTCTGCAAAAAGCACTGCTATTTTCCTCTTCAAACCAAAGCGGAGGCAGGCTGATACCCTGGAGAAGCCCATCAATCCCACCATCCATTCAGCACAGTAGTGATAGATTTGCCTTTCCCTGTTAGGCTTTTGCGAGTAGATTAGCGTACAACAGTGCAGGTGCTCTGGGGACAAGCGTAGTCACAGATGTGCAGACACACTTCCAAAATACACCTTGAGCGCTTTTTCACACGTCTTTTAGGACCACATGTCCCAGTAATTTTCATTCAAACATTTAAGAACAAGGATTTCAAAAGCAGCTAATCATTCCTGATGCCTCCATTTCTGAATGCCCAGCTTAAGATATTTTAAAAGCACGTCAATTTCGAAAAAATGCCAGAATCCCACAACCGCTGACAACAGGCTCCTTTCAGACATCTTGACTTGTGTAACAGAAAACAGAGGCAGCCCAAATCATTACTTATTTATGAAAATCTTGGCTTTGGCCTCTTAAAAGCCTACATCACTTTTGAGAACTGGACTCAGATGCTGCTGAAAATGTTGCCCATAAAAACCTGTTCATTGCAACGAACAAGTGCATCTCCCTGCACACAAACCACACTCACTGGGTAGAAGTGATGGTCCTACAGTACCATCAGATGGTCCTACAGAGCTGGATTTGAGATGCGATGAGGAAATGAAGACCCCACACAGACAAAAGCTCATGCTAATTTTAGTGCTCTTGAGCACCCTGGCACTGCTGCCCACGCTCTGCTTTGGTGTCAGGACTCCTCAAGGCCACCAAAACCAGCAGGCAGCTGCGACCCAATCAGGAAAGATTTGTTTTGACCATGGAAAAGGATGAGCACAAGAGATAGCACCAAGCCATGGGGACACATTAGCAGACTGCCATTGCAGAAAAGCACTTCCATCTGGGAACAACAGGACAAAGCAGAGGCGCTGCTGGATTTTCCAGGAGGTGGTCTCTAGCTGCAACAGCAAGTGCAATCTGCTGGGGCTGAGATGCAAGGGAGAGCTGTAGCTCTGCTGAGCGTGGCAGCAAAGGGCTGTATTAGCTGGTGTGAACCATCTTCTGGGCTCAGGGTAGGAAGAGGAACGGGGACAGACGAGAGGCGGCCTCTGGCAGGTGTAGACCCCCTTGGAGTGAAATCATTACCGAAGTCCACAGTGCTACAGCTCTCTAACTATTCTGACACAGCTCTGTGGTCACAAACGCAGCCACCTATTTGAATGGCTCCCAAGGAGATATTTCCAAAGCCGAGAAGTGCAGCCACACACAGCTCGTTGACACCATGCA